GAAAAATGCCATTGGAATTTTGATAGGGATTGCACTGAATCTTTAGATTGGGGTAGGATGAACATTATGACAATATTAATTCTTCTAACATGAGCACTGAATATCTTTCCATTTATTGGTATCCTCTCCACTTTCTTTCATCAATGTCTTACAGTTTTCACTGTACAGGTCTTTCACCTCCTTGGTTAAACTTATTCCTGGGTGCTTTATTCTCTCTGATGCAATATATATTTTCTTAACATCTCTTTCTGCTAGCTTGTTGTTAGTGTATAGAAATCCAACAGATTTTTATAAACTGATTTTTGTATCCTGTGACTTTACTAAATTTATCTACTAGTTCTAACACTATTTTGGTAGAGTCTTTAGGGTTTTACAAAATCACGTCATCCTCAAATAGTGACAGTTTTACTTCTTCCTTACCAATTTGAAACCTTTTTATTTCTTTTTCTTCCCTAACTGCTCTGGCTAAGACTTCCAATACTAGTTTAATAAAAATGGTGAGACTGGACCTCCTTGTCTTGTACCTCATCTTAGGGGAAAAGCTTTCAGCTTTTCATCATTGCATATGGTGTTGGCTGTGGACTTGTCATGTGTGGCCTTATTATGTCAAGGTACATGGCATCTATCTATACCCACTTTGTTGAGTTTTTAATCATGAATGGAGGTTGAATTTTGTCAAATGCTTTTTCTGTTTCTATTAAGATGATCATATGATTTTTATCCTTCATTTTGTTACTGTGCACCATGTTGATTTGTAGATGTCAAACCATCTTGCAATGATGGAATAAATCCCACTTGGACACTGTGTGTAATTTTTTTAATGTATTGTTGAATTCAGTTTGGTAGTATTTTGTTGAGGATTTTTTTTTTTTCATCTATGTTCACCAGAGATAATGGCCTGTAAGTTTCTTTTCTTGGTGTGCCCTTGTCAGTTTTTGGTATCAGAGCAATGCTAGCCTTATAAAATGAGTTTGGAGGTGCTCCCTCCTCTTCAATCAATTCATATTTTCTATTTCTTCATGATTTACTCTTGGAATTTTGTATATTTCTAGAACTTATCCACTTCTTCTAGGTTGTCCAGTTTGTTGATGTTCAATTGTTCACAGTAGGCTCTTATGATGCTTTGTATTTGTGGTATCAGTTGCAATGTCTCCTCTTTCATTTCTAATTTTATTTATTTGAGCCCTCTTTTTTTTTTTCTTGGTGAGCCTAGCTAAAAGTTTATCAATTTTGTTTCCTTTCAAAGAACCAACTCTTAGTTTCACTGATCTTTTGTATGATCTTTTTAGTCTCTATTTCATTTATTTCCACCCTGATCTGTTATTTCCTTCCTTCTACTAACTTTGGGCTTCATTTGTTCTTTCTCTAGTTCCTTAAAGTGTAAAGTTAGATTGTTTGAGATTTTTGTTTCCTGAGGTAGGCATGTATCACTATGAATTTTCCTCTTAGAACTGCTTTTGCTGCATCCCATAAATTTTGGTATGTTGTATTTTTCCATTTTCATTTGACTCAAGGTAAGTTTTTATTTCTCCTTTGACTTCTTTGTTGACCCACTGGTTCAGTAGCATGTTGTTTAATCTCTCCATATTTGTGTTCTTGTTTTCTTTTCTCCAGTTTCTTCTTGTAATTAGTTTCTAGTTTCATACCATAGTGGTTAGAAAAGATCCTTGATATTATTTCAGTCTTCTTAAATTTATTAAGACTTGTTTGGTGGCCTAACATATGATTTATCCTGGAGAATGTTCCATGTGCCCTTGAGAAAAATGTGTATTCTGCTGCTTTTGGATGGGATGTTCTGTATACATAACTATTAAATCCATCCGGTCTAATGTGTCATTTAAGGCCTTATTGATTTTTTTTTAGTGTTTATTCATTTTTTGAGAGAGAGACAGAGAGAGAGAGAGAGAGAAACAGAGTGTGAGTGAGAGAGGCCCAGAGAGAGAGGGAGACGCAGAATCTGAAGCAGGCTCCAGGCTCTGAGCTGTGAGCACAGAGCCTGACGCGGGACTCGAACTCATGAACCATGAGGTCATGACCTGGCCGAAGTCAGATGCTCAACCGAGCCACCCAGGCACCCCTCCTTATTGATTTTCTGTCTGGATTATCTATCCATTGGTGTAAATGGGGTATTAAAGGACCCCACTATTATTGTATTGCCGTCTATTTCTCCCTTTGGGTCTCTTAATATTTGTTTATTGATTTAGGTGATCCTATGTTGAGTGTATAAATATTTACAAATATAACATAAATAGGAAGCACTTAATTCAGCCATTCTGCCCATAGCAAGGAAGCCAGGGAAAACTCCATAAAGGAGACACTTGATCTGGGATGAGTAAGGTTCTGCTATGGGGAGAAAACAACAGAATAGCAGAAGCAGCTTGGAAAAACACAGAGATTGGAACCAGTGGTGTTTGATCAGGCAAGTGAGAAGTTCAGAAATTCCAGGGAAAGGCTTGATAGGTCAGGTCACAAAGGACTTTGACAGAATGCTGAGCAGACTCAACACATGTTGTAGATAAAGGCTTCCTCCTCAATTTGCCTCCCACATGACCCTGGAGGCATTCCTATCCTCAGTCTCTCCATCAATACTGGGATAATCATGCTTCCCTTACCCTGTTCCCATGAAAGCTACAAACTCCCTGTCACTGGTACTGGGTTGGTTGGCAGAGCCACTCCATGAATATCTGACAGAAGGTCCATGTACTAATTAAACATTCATCTAATACTGCATACATGACAATCAATTATTAGCTCTGCTAATTAGAAACCTCCACTAAGAAGTTTTGGGGAGCAACCAGAAGGCAATGAACCAACTTTGGCCTACTCTTACCCAGAGTAACCACAAGACTTACTCATTCAGTCATTGAGACAAATAGCATAGACTTTAGAAGCTCTGTGGTCTGTAGCCTCAGCTTCCTTGTCTACAAAATGGAAACATTAGCATCAAATTTATTGTTTTTATGAAATTAATGTATAGAGGAGAGTACCTGGCCCATAGCAGCACTAAATAAAGGACAGCTATTAGTTCTAAGGTATAATTCCTTAGTCTAGGAGCTTGGGATTTGAAAATGAGCAAAATGCCTAAGAAAATAAGAATATGAATAAAAATAAGAAAATGACTAAGAGTCCTGGCCAGAGGACCTCATGATCCACAAAACAGCATGATGAATGTTGACTACAAAATGCCATGAAAACTCAGAAAAAAGGCTGACTTGGTAAGCTGACCCTGCACTTAAAGCAGCAGCACAAGTTTGCATTTTGAGTCCCTAAGCAGCACCGGGCAAGACAAGGCCCTTCTAGCCCCTGCCATATCCCCTAGAGGTCTCCCAGCACCTCAAGTGGTTGCTTGAGTTTGTCTTTGTCAAAAGTTTCTCTAAACTCCACAGTGAAAGACTTTCTAATTTGTAACTCAGAAGTTAAGTCCTCTCCAGCATGAGACCATGTTGGCTGAACCTTAGGAGAAGGAATGGGCCCAGAAAAGCCCCATTCCAGCCTCCTCCTCTCCTGCACCAAGAAAAACCAGGACAAGGTCCACCATCCCATTACCTTACATGATGAGAAAGTGTCAAAGAGCAAGACAGTGGGATTTCTAGGGGCTGGAGTTAACTATAGTGGCCCAAAATGCCAACTGCCCAAGTAGGCAAAGGGGGTAACGTGGCTCCGTCTCCTCTCACAACACATGTAAAGGAGCAGTGGGAACTTGTGACGATGGTTTTCTCAGTGGGAATCAATGGTGGGATGTGATCACTATGGAAACTAATTCAACCTTAAATACATTGATTACAATATAATATCTAGATGCAGGGAAGTAACAGTCTTATGATCAGTCCTCTGATCAGAATACCCTGAGCCTTAGGACCTAAGCCAGGTGCTGTGCTTTAAAAGGGGCAGCAAACCAGAGTGACTTCAGAGAAGATAGTATGGGACTCAAAGTCACAGTTGAAGAAACTAGACAAAAATAAGATGGGCCCAGCAGCTTTCCTACAATGTCAACATAACTGTGATATTACTTCCCGATCATAAAGGAGGTGCCACAGTTAAAGGGGAAAATGTCTTACTGTCAGCTACTCAAACACAATAAATTCCAGAGATTCCTCCCTCAGTCCCTGCTTCAGGTTCATGTGATATTCCCCAACTCACACAGCACCTGCAGGATGGCACGTTCAAGAATAGTTTCTCTAGTCTGTCCCTGGGCTTCATTTATGACTCTAGGACCCACCTTCAGGCCACCCTCAAAGGTTCACAGTGAACATGCCTCCATACCATCTGGACTGACCACCTCAGTCCTTCCCTATGGCCCTTCATCCTTTTCCTCCCGCCCCTCCTCTTGTGTCAGCCTCTGGCTGAATTGTCATGCTTCGTTCTGTTGCTGGATTGGGGATGGAGGGGAGGGAAGAGGCCCTATGTGAAGTGTACAGACACAAGTAGACCCTATGTATAAAGATTAATCTCCTACTACCTTTTATGCAAAAATTGTCTGCTTCCTTTCTGATGTAAGTTTCAGTACAAAACTCTCCTCCTATTACCTTAAACTTATGACTCTAGGAAGAGAAGGAAAAACTTATTTCAACACATTTAAAATGCTGTCAGGTAGAACAGGGGCTACCAATCTGTTTTTGTAAGCCCCAAGATGGAAAATTCAGGCAAATGGTGAAGCCACAGGGTTAACATAACTGCTAGAGTTGTCCAAGAATGGGCTACATATGTCCCCGGAAGTGGTGACAGGGGAGAAAGTGTTCAAACATGGGTAGGAGTGGCACTTCCTAAAATGTGACTTGCCAGGGGACTCCAGCAGTAGAGCGGATGGGAGAATCAGGTCTCTTTAAGACCCTAACTTTGATTCTAGGATTCATATAATTAGCAGTGTATTTCCATAGGACCAAAGGTTGGGATAGCAGTTGAACTAGTAAACTGATGGAAAATACTTTTAAATTAATTGGTGTGGGGAAAGTGTCATGAATAGAAGTCCTTTATGTTATCCTCCACCTCTGACATTCCTGTTTTATGATTCCAGGTTCTGAAAGAGTGTCAGCTACTGGCAAATCCATACAGCTGACAAGATGCAGGTCAACCTTCTGTCTCAGGACATCTGGTGAGTATGTATATATGTGCATGTGTATGTGTATGCGTGTGTGTGTGTGTGTGTGTGTGTGTGTGTGCGCGCGTGCGCGCATAGCGGACATGAGGGCAGGAAACCACAGACGTTTTCTGAAGGGCACATGCACATACACACACACATCTCCCACACAGTGGAGATCCAGAATTGGACTTGAGAAATGGTAGCAGAGATAAGATCCAACAATCTTGAGACCTGACCAATTCCATAATCGCCCCCTCCCCTAGCTGCTGGTCCCAGGAGTCTGTTGTTAGGGAAACAGCCACTTCCACCTCCCCTCCCAAAGCCAGTAGGGTGGCTTTCATATTCAATGAGGAGGACCCTGGCAACCTAAGACACCAAACCTCAGAACCAACGCCAATCTGCCAAAGTATGGGCACTCACTCAGGAGCTGGGGACAGACGGCAGGGCTAAGCAAGGATGTTACTGCAATCACAACCCCGAAAGCCAGAAGGCCACAGTGTCCACCTTCAGCCATATCTGTGAGCTCTCTGACTGTGGCTGAGTGTCCTCTGGTCACCCCCTACCCAGCATCCCCCTTCTCACTCCACTACCTGTCCCCAAAGCTCCTGTTCTCTGTTTCTCTAACACAGAGTTGGCAGGCAGAAGACACAGGACACTTCCTGTCCTGGGTACTGCTTTCACCCAGGGCGGCTTATACCTTAATGGCTCAAGGGCAGACCTCCCCACAGAGTTCTTTTTACCTGCTCCCCACTACAGCTGTAGCCTCCCAACATCAACCATCGGTAAAATGGCTCTTTGGCAGGTCCTTTCTCCATCCTGCAGATCACCACACACCCTACCCTGCTTTCTCCACTTCACATTGGCCAGTCCAAAATGGTTCTTTCCTCGCCTGCCGAAAAGCTGTTTCTAAAAGGGCAGCAACCCCTTCTCTCCCAATCTCCCACGCTTTAACCAAAAATGCTGAGTCTAAGTGCAGCCCATGCAGAGGGCCACCCTGCCTCTCTCTCCCTGAAAGAGTGGCAGCTGCTGGCAAATCCCTGTGGAGGGGCTTCTACAGGTCCCGTGGGGTACATCCTTACGGCTTCGAAGCAAGCAAGGGAACAAACCCCTGACTCAGGTCTAAACCTCTTATGCTCCTGGAGACTACTCTTTCCTCTGCCTCTTAGGAAACATAGACACAGCAACTGTACCAAGCCCTAGGGTAGGGCACCCCCCTATCCAGAGTTTGGCCCATCAACCAGTGAGTCCACCAGTAACCAATGTCATCATAAGCCACCTCTCCTGCAACCACCACTACTTTCAAGGCCACAAAAAGGAAAAGAAAAAAAGACCTGAAATGCTCATTTAAAATAACTGCTATTGAAATGTCATATGCCCTTAAATGCAAAGAAAGCACTGCACATGCTTTCACACACACACACACACACACACACACACACACACACCCATCCTGCCCAGTTCTTACTGCTGGGGCCTCAAATAAACTCAGTTTGGGTCCTATCTGAACACCATGGCCACCAGCAACATCCCAGCTCTGCCCTCAGGGGGGTGGGGTAGGGGTAATGGGTAAGGGAAGGCTGCCATGAGGTAAATGGGGAAAACTCACTGGAATAGGTCTATCACTACTCCTACCCCTGCTCTAGATACCCCCTCTCCTGGAAACAGAAGACCCAGTCCACTTGACCAGCCTTCTTCAAATAGCACCACCCTCAACCGCACCCAAGCAAGACAGGCTGGCTCTCCAAACCCAGCCAGGGGACAGCCATCCTAGTGTTCAGGTAAGGTGGGGAGTGAGATGAGAGTGGACCCAACAAGGGCATGTGCCACTGATACAGCAGAAACGCTCTTGGAAATATTTTAGTGTTCACATTTTAAGACAAGGTATTAGTTATGAAGCGCCTCCTACATGCCAGGCACCATGCTGGATACTTTATCTCAGATCTTCTCCAATAACCCAGGAAGTGAGTTTACAAATAGGTAAATTGTGGCTCAGCGAAGTAAGGGAACTTGCTGGAAAGTAGCACATGCCTGTCTTTGATGACCTCTCACTGTAAGAGACCCATCCCCCAATGACTTCCACAATTAAGATGGAGAGATAAGAAGGACCCTACTCTGGGAAAGCAGCAGCAGGGGGGTTGCTTTGCAGGAGTCAGAAGCCCAGGAGGAAATAGCCCCGGGAGATATTAAATACCACCTGGAGCCCCTTCCCAAGGCTCCACTCCAGACGCAACCCCCAAGCTACTCCAACCAGCACAGCAAGCCTCAGTGGCTCCCCTTCAGTACAACCTATGGAGAATGTTATAAGCCCGGGAGGATACAGCCTGTGACTTACCATGGGGAGAACCCCTCCCATTCAGGTGAGACTTAGCTTGATGGCAAAAGGGTAACAGGATAGATGAGTGGCACTAAGTATAAATCCACCTACCTCACCCTTCCCCCGGGGCACTCCTATCTCCCAGGCTGATCCCAGGGGTGGGAACAAAAGCCCAGGAGAATACAGTAAGCAGTAAGGAACCCAGCTCTGTCTCTTCAAGAGCCATTCAGGCAATATTTGACTATGAGGCCAGCTAGGAGCACTCTGGGAGGAGACCACACCAACCACCCCATCCTAGCCTACCTTCCTCCCTATTTAGGCTAGACCAGTGGGCAGCTCTGTAGTCCAGGTTTTCAAAGCTCTGGTGACCCAAAAAGGGGTGGGAGAATACTCTGGATTCCACACTAAGGATTCTTTAGTTCTGGTCTTGGGGAGACAACCGTAAAGGTCAGATTGGAGGAAGAGGCAATGCTCTTACATTGGGTCTATTATTCCCCTTATGAAAGGTTTGCTTAAATAGAATGAGCCGTGCAGGAGCCAAGCCTGGGGTCCAGGTCCTACTGTCAAGATCTTCCCTCTCAAGACTTTCCCACACAGAGGAGGGCCTCTGCACACTTTCTTGCTCCCTTCAGGTGATGACTATATGACCACTACTCATCAGATTTCCTTGCAGAGCCCTCTTCTTGGTCAGTCCACGTTCCCAGTTCATATCCAGGGCAGAAAAATAGGACCAATAGTGCGTCCAGGCCATATGGAGTACACCAGCCAATACCAGAGTGACTTCCAAGCCTCAGGGTGGAATCAAGTCCTCAAAACTGACCCAGACAAAAGAAGCCAGGGGATCAAGTGAGTAACCAGAACTGTTGGCAAGCTACAGGGTTGCTGTGGGGCAAGGGGCCAGAGGAGGGCTCTATTGCCCAAGAGAAAGGTACTGATGGTCCCCAACTTATGATGGTTTCATTTACAATTTTTCGACTTTCTGACACGGCAAAAGTGATGCACATTCAGTAGAAACCGTACTTCAAATTTTGAATCTGGATCTTTCCCCACACTAGTGTGACACAGTACGATCCTCTCTGGTGACGCTGAGGGGTGGCAGCGACCCTCAGCTCCCAGTCAGCCCCGCGATCACAAGGGTCCCCTGACAACATTTCTGCACCCATGCAGCCATTCTGGTTTTCACTTTCAGTACAGTATTCAATACGTGACATGAACACTTTCTTATAAAATAGGCTTTGTTGCCCAACTACGGGCTAACGTAAGGGTTCTGAGCACATTTAAGGTAGGCTAGGCTAAGCTATGATGTTCAGTATTTCAGATGCATTAAATGCATTTTCCATTTAAGATATTTCCGACTTACAACAGGTTTATGTAGATGTATCCCCATTATAAGTCAAGCAAGATCTGTAATAATTTAGAACTCAGTCTTCTGTCCAATTCAGAGACATGGCTATAGAAGGCAACAAAGCAAACGAGTAATTGTTTTAGAATCCTGGATCTTCAACTAGTTCAGATTTATTTCGTCCTCACCTCACATAAGTTTTGGGCAAGGACAAACTGCCTGCTGTTCATAACTGGGGGTAAGTCTCTTCCCCCGTGCATCTCTGAGAGACAGGAGCTCAAACTGCAAGCCAGGAGGTAAAGCAGCCAGGCTTATCTGGTACTCATGAAATTACAGAGATTCGGGCATTCCCCTTGCCCATCCTTGTCCTGGCTTCTCCCCTATTAGAGCCTGCTTCCCTTGGGGGCCCAGCATGGCCCTCTACTTCCCTCTGACTCATCCCTGAAAGGTTAGAAGGCCCGGCTCCAACGCAGAGCCAGGCATATGCACACAGTGCCACACAAATGTTACAGAAATGTCCTATTCCACAGTGGTAGAGGAAAGGATAACCTTCACTGGGAAGTGAACAGGGATGTGAGCCTAGCAAGTAAGAAAGCTCTTTTCCCCCTTCCCCAACAAACATACCTCCAAGCTCACTTCCCAAGACCACATTCTCTAAGCCAAGTCTCTAGCTGCCTAGCAGGGCGTTCTAGAATGCTTTCCATCACCCTATCCTTTGGCTGCAGGTGTCGCATCGTCTCTGCTGGGTCTTAGCATGATAACTAGGGAGTGTGAAAAAGAAACAGAGATAAAATTAATTAAAATTTTATTTTCGGAGGAGAAATAAATGTGTATTTGAAATTACCTGAAAACACTCTGTACAGTTTAGGCAGACACACATACGAAAAGCAAAAAAACCACGTAGATGGCCCGGTGCCCCTCTATTTGGCATGCCGGGACTGGTTCCCAGGTATAGGTCCTGACTTCTAGAAATGTGTTTACCCCTTACAGCAAATACACCCAGACTGTGCAGAAAGACAATGCCTCTGGCTGGCAGCCCACTATGCATCAGCATCCGAAGCCGAGATGGGTGAAGCAGGAGATGACCATCCTGGGTAGGAAGAGCACTGTCAAGTTTGACGGAGGCACAGTGACCAGGGTAAAGTGCCCAAGCTCTCTGTCTAGAGGTAATCAGCATGAGGGTCCTAACTACTCCCTCAACCCAAGGAGGGGAATGGGGGTAGACAGGGAACAAAGGAAAACATTTACCCGACCAGGACACCCCAACCCCACTTGTCTTGAGAAATCCAGAAATTTTACTTTCCTGAATCTGCAGCCACTTATGGACTCTGATATTTGCCCCTGACCAAAGAGGTGAGGTACGTACGCACTTAACATATGCTGGCCACGTGGTAAGTACTTAACAAAAGATAGCAATTAAAATCATCATTATTATTATTTCCCCAGACATGCATTCCTCTCTTCCCAGATGTCTTATCTACCTCCTCCCAAATCCCTGGTAAAAAGAGTCAAGGGTAAGTGCCCCTCTAGCACACTCAGGGTCTTCAAAGCCAAGTTACAAACTGAAACTACCAGCAAGCAATTCTTCCAGGACTGTAGAACTCAGCCCCAGGTATGCTACGGAGACCTTCATCACAGAGGCTATGAGAAGCCCCTGGTAAGAACTGTTGTGGGCAGAGGACAGACCTCTGGACTACCCCTTCACCTGTCACCTTGCTATCAGGGTGAGGGTGGGTGGGGGGAGAACTGTAGGGAGTGGAGTCTGATGTTTAAACCCTGGATCTTTCCCAACCTAGAGCAATTCTGAGCAAGTTAACCTCTCTGCACAAATGTTTTCTCCTCTGCCAAAAGGAAAAGAAAACAAACCTTGATTACTAGGCACTAGACATTGCATTTCTATCCGTGACTCCTTCTGAGCATAACATGCAGGGAGGGTAAGGTACACTCCTTTTTCAGCTGACTGCTCTCTGTCCCCTCAAGAGTGTGGGTTCGCAGGCACCACCTCAGGATCAAACTACCACCAGGACCTCCTACATGCCCTTGTTTTCTGAAAGACTGAACCTCTGTAAGCCCAAGGTCAACAGCAGCAAATGGGAGCCAAACAAAATTTCTCTACTGAGCAAAGGAAAACATTCAGGTACAAAGGAAATTTGTCTTCCCAGATACAATAATGTTTGCATACGGCCAAAAAAAAAAAAAAAAAAGCCAGCGTCGTGGAGCAGACATAATTCAGCTCCAGCCTGGCCCCATAATCTCTCTGCCTATTTTTAGAGACCAGTCCAGCTGCCTGAAAGCCGGCTCCAGAAGTACTTTTGACAAGAGGACTCAAAATCCCCAAAAAATAATAATAATCGGGAGAAAGAAACCGCCCAAATAACCTATGCAAAAATGCACAGTTGGGCACCCATATCGAACCTTAAAACTGAGGTCCCACCGTAACTACCTCATAGAACAGACTCAGTTTTCCCGCTGGGATTTCCCAGTCACACCCTGACCCTAATACAACTCTTTGAAACTAACTGAGCAAGGGTGAGTAACCTTTTTAGAAAGAAAGGATGCACTGTGAGTCTTAGAAGGTCAGTGTGTTCCAGGACTCCTGAGGGAAAAAGAGGTCAGACTATTTCCCCCTAACGAATGAATGGCAAAGCATCAAAACTTTTCTTGTCAGTGCCATCAATTAATGACATTCTATTTGAGCTACAGCGTCTGCTCACTGCTGCTTTTTTTCCCTTTACATTCTCTGAGATTATAATTCACATACCATAAAATTTACCCTTTTAAAGTGTATAATCCAGTGGGTTTGAGTATTGCTCACTGCCGCTTAAGTCTAAACTTCAGAGTGGAGAAAGTGGCACAGGAAAGGAAGGAGAACATGAGGGTCTGGATTGATTAAAACAAACAAACAAAATCTTCCACGTAGAGAAAGTATCCAAAGCCTAAAGGAGAATCTCATCAAAGTCTAAACACCAGGTCTCTCTCTTAAAAATACTTACCATTTTGAAAACAGGATTACGTTTCTGGTTTTAAAAGAGGGATAAGAAATGGAATAGGCAACTGAATTTAGCCACCTATATCCTTGAGAGATGCTAAAACACGGATAAGACCCAGAGGCCTCCTTTCCCCAGTCAGGAAAAGGCATATCACACTGCCCTCTAGTAGTCAGCCTAGGGAATGACAGCCAGCCACCTGCTGAACAGACTTGGAGGTCTCTGCCCTGGAGGATGTGCTGTGCTCACACACACTAAAGCAGAAAAATCGGAGGGAGAAGAAATTCGTAAATTTTCACCAGTGCCTACCAAACACAGAGCTTACCTACAATAAAATCTATCTACTTCCCCTCCACCTAAGTCTCTGCTTGAAAACAGATAGATTCCTTTGTTAAGGAAAAAACAATGTGGCTTAAGGTTTCTAAAACATCTGAGCCTGTCTTAGTCCATTCAAAACAAAATGCTGTAACAAAAATACCCTATACTGGGGGGCTTAAACAACATGCATTTATTTCTCACAGTTCTGGAGGCCTGGGGGTCCAAGATCAAGACATTAGCAGATTGATTTGGTATCTGATGAGGTTCTTCCTGGTTCAGAGGCTAGCTTCTCGCTGTGTCCTCACATGGCAGAAAGAAAACAAGGGAGCTCTCTGGGGCTTCTTTTACAAGGGCACTAATCTCACTCATGAGGCTCCACCCTCAGGACCTTATCACCTCTTAAAATTCCTACTTCCTAGTATCATCACACTGGGGCTAGGATTTCAACATGGGAATGGGGGGGGGGGGATACAACATTCAGTCCACAATAGCCTCTTAAAGCAAGGTGTTCCTAAGAGAGTGTGGGGCCCCATTAAAATGAAGTTAAAACCTGGGCCCATATGGAAATAAAATCCAGCTGTGTATAAGAGTTGTGACAAACGGCTAGGAGTTGAATGTACTCACTGCCACTTCTGGCCAAGGAAAGGGGATGGCTCACAAAACAGCTTACAAAAGCATAAACTCTGAAGTAGTAAGTTAGAATAGGATCTGGGGCCTATATTCACTGAGGACTTTTTGTAAAATAAGGTTTCTATTTTGGAAAAAATTTAAACTTCTAGCAAACTGTAAAGATAATGTAGAGTTTTGTTTTGTTACTCTTCACCCCAATTTCTCGACTGTTAAACCTCTTACGTGACTACAGTACATTTGTCAAGACTGAGAGATGAACATTGCACGCCTTTGTAGGAACTAAATTCTGGACTCTATTCAGATTTCACCAGTTTCACCACTAACGTTCTAACCTTGGGCTTTTTCACAAAATGTTTACATCAAGGAGCCAAAGGACCAGCAAGGCAGAGCGCAATCCAGTAGGACTCTGGGCTCAAGTCCCAACTATGCATCATGCTAACTGTAGAACTTGTTTTCTGAGCTTGTTTCCTATTTAACATACCTCCACCTCTCTGCCTACGCATCTCTCTGACAGCCACTGGCTACAGTTGGGGAACAGACCTCTCCTACTTGGCAGTGATTCCAGCTCAGGCTCTCCAGCTAAGAGAAGGGATGGAGTCCCTTTGGGATTTTTAGATTTCAACACTGCTTCAAAATCCACATATGTATCAAATGGCTGGAGGACGGACAGCCTTTCTTTTGGGGCCTGAGATGTGCACACTACAGCTGTCCAACAAAATCCATTCTCCCCTTCTTCCTGGGTGTGCACTGCATTTCTGGGGCTCTCTTGCATTAAGGAGCACCATGTAAGTAAGTTCTGGCCGTCAGAATAGGAGTCAAAGTTTGTGCCGCTTCTAGAGCTGCCCTGTTGCATCTCCCAAGCGATCTCCCAAGCTCTGCTCAACTCACTAAAATGACAATACCCAAAGCAAGCTTGGAGGCTGTGTTAGCATCAGCATCAGCTTGGTCCCTAAATGGCCCCCAAACAGAGAATGCTCCTCCCACTACGCCAATCTCAAACTACCCTGCACATTACATGAGTGAGGAAGGAGAAAAAACTTCTATTGTGGTAAGCTAGCCCATTCGGTGGCTGTCATGGCAGTTTGGCCTAACACAATGCAAAATGTCAATTCTGGTAGAGCAAGACCTTGCTTCTGGATCTGTGCTCAGGGCCTCAGGGGCACAGGACTGAGGTGACCACCTGTCAGAGACCGGGACACACGATCACATTCATCCACGTAAGGCCTCGCTTTTGTTTCCCTTTCCCTCCCATCCTTCGCCATCCCGGTCCCATTCTGTTCCCTCCTACAGACTATTCCAGGGTGTTAAGGTGTATAGATCCTCCTTAGAAAAAATGCTGCTTAGTGTGTTTTAATTTACTTAGCTGGTTTTTGCTGTAAATCGAATTCTTCTTTATTTTCCTCACCTGGAGTCTGTCATGTCACAGCAGTTCCTAACTGCTTGCGTCTGACTGCTTTTATGATATTCTCTCCTATGCACATACCACATTTTACTTATCAATTCCCTCAGGGACAGACATCTAAGTTGCTTCTAGCTTCTTGCTACCCAAACTATACACAGATAAACATCCTTTTATGTAACTCCTTGTGGATCTATCTGCAAGTTTCACTGAAGGATACAGCCAGAAGTAGAGCTGCTTTGATGTAGAGTATATACATACTTAATGCATTAGTTACCTATTGCTGTATAACAAATTACCTCAAAACTTAGCAGCTTAAAACAATAACACCCACAGAATGAGAGAACACGTTGGTAAATCATGTATCTGATAAGAGACTTGCAACCAGAATAAAGAACTCTACATTAGAGTGTGTGTGTGTGTGTGTGTGTGCGCGCCCGTGCGCGTGTGCATGCACATATGTGTGACATACAACCCAACTGAAAAATGGGCAAAGGATTTGAATGAACATTTCTCCAAAGAAGATATATACAAATGTTACACAACATTAGGCATTAGGAAAATGCAGATCAAAACCACAGTGAGATACCGCTTCACACCCACCAACATGGCTAGAATCACGGCAGATAGTTAATAGGTGTTGGCAAAGATGTGGAGAAACTGGAAGTGTCATACACTGCTTTGGAAGTTTGGCAGTTCCTCAAAAAGTTAAACATGGACTTTATGACCTAGGAAACCTACCCCAAGAGAAATGAAAGTGTATGTCCGTACAAAAACTTGTACATAAATATTCACAACAGCACCATTTATAACAGACAGAAAGTAGAAATGACTCAAATGTCTATCAGCTAATGCATGAATAAAATGTGCTATCCATACAAGGGAATATTATTCAGCCATAAAAAGGTATGAAGGACTGAGATGTACTACAACACAGATGAAACTTAAAAACAATACGCTCAGTGAAAAGAGCTAGACACAAAAGGCCACATGTTGTAGGACAGTCCCATTCACATACTACAGGAAATGTCTCTAATAGGCAGATCCAAAGAGACAGAGAGTGGATCAGTAGTGGCCAGGGGATGGGAGAACTGGGGACAAGTGAGGAGTGACCGCTAATGGATTCAAAGTTCTTATATCCAGAGTGATCAAAATGTTTTAAAAACTGTGGTGATAGGGGCGCCTGGGTGGCTCAGTCGGTTAAGCGTCCGACTTCAGCTCAGGTCACGATCTCGCGGTCTGTGAGTTCGAGCCCCGCATCAGGCTCTGGGCTGATGGCTCAGAGCCTGGAGCCTGCTTCTGATTCTGTGTCTCCCTCTCTCTCTGCCCCTCCCCCGTTCATGCTCTGTCTCTCTCTGTCTCAAAAATAAATAAATGTTAAAAAAATTTAAAAAAAAAAAAAAAACTGTGGTGATAGGTACACAACTCTGTGATATCTAAAAACCACTTAAGTGTACCTCATGGGAAATGAGTTAAGTGTATACTACGTGTGTTATAACTCAATAAAGCTTTTTAAAAAGTGAACACCTATTACCTCACTGTTTCTTTGGGTCAAAAATTCGGAGGTAGGTGACTCTAGCTCAGGATCTCTCATGAGGCTGTGGTCACATGTCGATCAGGGCCACATTCATCTAAAGGTCTGAATGGAGCTAGAATATCCACTTCCAAGGTTGCTCACGGGGATGGGTAACTTGGTGCCATCTACTGGTGAGAGGTCTTAGTTCCTTTCCACATGGACCTCTCCAGAGGGCTGCCTGCGTGTCCTCATGACATAGCAGTTGGCTTCTTCCACAGCAAGGGATCCAAGAAAGTACAAGGCAGAGGTTTCAATGTCTTTTATGACCTAGCCTCAGAAGTAACACATTTCCGGTACATCCTACTGGTTACACAGGACAGCCCTATTCATTATGGGAGGGGACTACAAAGGGCTTGAATACCAGGGGTCAAGGATCATCGGGGGCAATCTTGGAAGCTGGCTATCAACACCTGATGATTAGGAAGACAATAATAATAATGGCTAACAATTTTGTGACACATACTATGTGCCAAGCACTGTTCTAAGCTCACAATAAACCTACAAAGTAGGTATTACTATCTCCATTTCACAAAAAAGTTAAGTGGCTTACCAAGGTCACAGTATTAGTAAAAGACACAGCTGGGATTCAAACTCAGGCAATATAGCTCCAGAACCACATTCTTAAAAACTATGTAATACTGCATGCCAGGTATTATTTCATTCCAGTGAAGTGTTGCCCATTTGTCTCCGGAATGGATGTACCAGTTGAAACTCCTCATGAGTTTTCATTCCCCATGAGAGCTCAGTCTCCTATTTTTGCCAAACCAACAGATATAAAGTAGAAACACATTAACATTTTAATTTGCGTTTCTCTAATTACCAATGGGGTAATATACTTATTAGTCATTCTGGTTTTCCCTTTAGATTTTACCTATTTATATTCTTTGCCCATTTTTATCTTGTGTTTTGTTTCTCTTCCTGATTTGCAGTAGTACTTTCTATATTCAGTCTTTTATATATGCAATCCCTTGTCAGTTTTAAACATTGCAAATATTTTTTCCTAATCTGTACACATCTTTGACTATGAGATGCTTTGTTGACCAGAAATCTTTAGTTACGAAGTAGTCAAAGGTATCAAATCTCATGGATAGTGCTTTGGGGATCTCATTTAAGAAATCTATCCTCACCCCAAAGTCGCAAAGACAGTCTCTGATTTTTCCTACTGGTTTTAACATTTTACCTTTCATTTAGGTCTTTCATCACTTTGGGATGTCTTTGTCTTATATGGTGTGAGGTAGGGATCCAACTTTATTGTTGTCCATATATAAGTCAATTTTCTAAACGCCATTATCTGTTTCTTCTCCACTAATTTGTGACACTACCTTTGACATACACCATGCCTCCAAACAGCTACTTCTATTCCTAAGTCTAGTTTAGCACTAATTCATATTTTCTAAGAGGAAGGAACTATCACTGCCAAAGTTTTTACTCCCACTGCTTTCTAGATTAATGAAAAATCCAACCATCACCCTCCAAGATCCATGGAGGCTCAACATTAGCTGTGTTCTTCCCAAAAACAGAATACCCAGTTAAGAGCATGATTGTGAAAAAATAAATGTATGTTTATTAAAAAAGAAAAACCCTAACCAAGAACAAACTCTGGGACACTGAAAATGCAATGCTTCCTCTGAAGGCCAGCAATCGCCAGTGTTGGAACACCTGAGAAGTACAGGTGCCTCAGTCCAAATATCAGGTCTCAAAATATTCTTCTGTAGTCAAAACTGGCATTCAGGTTGCTGGTCTGTGTGGACCCTGATTACTAGCATAGACAGCTGTTACAGCTGGATGTCTGGCTGCCCTATGTCCACTACCACAACCCACAGCCGCCCCACAGCCTCAGAAAAGTTACATATCCTCAACACTCCACTTGTAGGCAAGTTCCTCCACCGCCTTCTTGCTGGCAAGCCTGGCAAAGCGCTTCTGTTCAAATCCATTGGATCTGCAATCAAGAGACACTGATCAGCCAGAATCCTGAACTGGACATTCATTTTTGAAAAAAGAGAAGAGTTCACAACCTAATAGATAAGGAGGAAAGTAAGGCAGTCATGTGAAAATATGTAAGGCATATGCAACAGAATCAAAAAGCGAAAATACATCATTCATCCTTTTATTAGTTCTTATTCAGACCCTTCTGCCACTCTTTTGACAACTGTTTCAAACATTTACTACTCTACAGGCCCAACTCCCTCTCAGCTGACGTCTACATCTTATAATTTATCCATTCATTACACAACATTTAGTGAATTCTTATTACAGGCACCTCTCTAATTGCACTTCACTTTACGACACTTCGCAGAATGTATTTTTTACCAACTGAAGATCTGTGACAACCATGCATCAATTAAGTCTATTGGTGCCACTTTCCAACAGCATTTGCTCACTTCGTGCCTCTGGGTCACACTTTGGTAACTCTTGCAATATTTCACATTTTTTCATTATTTGTTATGGTGATCTTTAATCAGTGATCTTTAACGAAACTATTGTCAACTGTTTTGGGGTGCCACGAATGCATCCATATAAGACAGCAAACTCAGTTGATAAATGTTGTGTGTGTTCTGACTGCTCCACTGACCGGCCACTCCCCCATCTCTCTCCCTCTCCTCCAGCCTATTCTCTGAGACACAGCAATATTGAAATTAAGCCAATTAATGACCCTACATTGGCCTGTAAGGGTTCAAGTAAAAGAAAGAATCACACGTCTCGCTTTAAGTCAAAAGCTAGAAAAAAGACTAAGTTCAGTGAAGAAGGCAAGTTGCAAGCCAAGATGGGCTAAAAGCTACACCTCTTGCGCCAGTCAGTCAACTTGTAAATGCAAAAGAAAAGTTACTGAAGAAAATTAAAAGTGCTACTCCAACAAACACAAATGATAAGGAAGCAAAACAGCCTTACTGCTGATATGGAGGAAGTCTGAGTGGTCTCGATAGGGGATCAAACCAGCTATAACATTCCTTTGAGGCAAAGCTTAATCCAGAGCAAGGCCCTGAGTCTCTTCAATTCTGTGAAGACTAAGAGAGGTGGGGAAGCTGCAGAAGAAAAGTGTGAAGCTGGCAGAGGTTGGTTCGTGAGATTTAAGCAAAGAAGTTGTCTCCATAACATAAAAGTTTGAGTGAAACAGCAAGTGCCAGTGTAAAGCTGCAGCAAGTTATCTAACAGATCTAGCTACCTAAGACAGTCAGTGAAGGTGGTTACACTAAACAGATTTTCAATATAGATGAAATGGCCCCCTACTGGAAGAAGATGCCACCTGGGACTTTCATAGCTACAGACGGAAGTCAATGCCTGGATTCAAAGCTTCAGAGGACAGGCCGACTCTCTTGCTAAAGGGCTAATGCAGCTGGGGACTTTAAATTGAACTTCTTAAAAGAGCTTGTATTCACTGTCTACACCTCCTCACTTTTCATTCACTCCTTAACACATTGGAACCTAGCTTTTGTCTCACCATGCCACAGTTAGCTCTCTTTCAGGCCGCCAGTGACCTTCCCTATTGTCAAATCCAGTGATTTCTCCTTCTGCCCAAGTCAGCCACCAGGTCCTGACACCTCATCCCTGAACACTTCCCTACAGTTCAGAACTCCACCTCCTTTACCCTGACCTACTGCAATAGCCTTTTACCTTGTCTCTCCACTTCCAGATGTGTGCCTTTCAAATGCTTCCCATTACTGCCTTAGTGATTCATCTATCTAATATACAAAGCTGTTGTTATTCCTTCAAGGGCCCTCCTTTGCCTTTAGGGTGAAGACCACACTCCTCACAAATGCTTCTAAAGCCTACTGTGACCAGGCCCCTGCTTACCTTTCCAATCTATCACATACACTCCACGTCACACCTCATGCTCTCCAACAGTAACAAACTGCTTATGACTGCCCCCCCATAACACTATGATGTCCCATACCCTTATGACTTCGCACTTCAACCTCCTTCCTCTTCTTATGTTGGCTGGCGACTGATATCCCTTAAGACAAAGCTCATGTATATTCTAGAAAGCTTCCCTAACCGCACTCTCCCAAGGCTGAATTTACTCTACCTTTGTGCACCCAAGCACCCTGAAAATCCTCTATAAGTAATACTAGCAAGTAGTATTGAAATTATTTACTTGTCTTTCTGCTCTAGATGGAAAGTAAGTTCCTAAGCTTAGGGACTATCACTACCTGTGAGAGCCCAGCAGCTGGTACACAGCTGCCTCAAGTAATCACATCTTTGCTAAGTGTTACTGAAATGATGGAGAGAACAGGCTTCCTTCCCTCTTGCCTAACACCCTCCCTAAGGGATGAGTAGGATGAATAACAGAGTGTTTTAGGAAGGGAAGCTTACTACAAACAGCTCCATCTCTAACCTCAAAAGCATGCAGGGTATTCTAGAGCACCAAGGAAACCACTGTTTTTTGCCCTGGGGAATAAGTACTTAAGAGAACCAACACTAATATGATCATACAGACGAAGGACATATGAATAACAAACCAAACCCTACAGAATCAAAAAACAAACCACAAGAGAACGCACAGTAGAAAAGCCTTGGACTATAGAATCAGGAGCCCATGATTTTTAATTTTTTTTTAATGTTTTTATTTATTTTTGAGAGAGACAGACAGAGTGCGAGCAGGGGAGGGGCAGAGAGAGGGGGAGACACAGTATCTGAAGTAGGCTCCAGGCTCTGAGCTGTCAGCACACAGCCCGATGCGGGGCTCTAACTCACGAACCGTGAGATCATGACCTGAGCCGAAATCGGACACTTCACGACTGAGCCATCCAGGCGCACCAGGAGCCCAGGATTCTAATTCCAGCTTTTTCAGGTGAGCTAAATAACTCAAGGTAAGTAGTTAAATTTATCTGGGCCTTGCTTGTCTTTTAAATAATAATGGGATTAGATTAATTGACCTTATGAGTTTTTCCAACTACAGATATGTTCTAGAAATGTTCACTTGCAATGGGCCAAAACCAGACAAACTAAAAGAGGTGACGAAAGAGTGAATAATGAGAAAGAAAACAAAAATGAGAAAGGGAACTAAAAGGAATGATGTCAGAAAAAATGCTAAGTGGAAGAAAACTCCTGGGAGAGCTGGAGACAAATCAGATATCAAGAAAATACTAGGTCAGGGAGAGTTCTGAGTGTGGGTCCAGAATTTTTTTTTTTTTTTAAAGAAAAAAAAAAAAAAAAGGATGGCCTCAGTGTAGCAGAGAAAATCTCTAGGGTTGTGGCTATAAAAAGATCCACTTTTGGCTATAAGACAAATCAGCATTCTGAAAAATGTCCTGCTACCAAACAAAGAGCCTATATCCAGTGAACTGCAAACCAAAGTAGTAAGCTAGCCTGAAACCACAGCCACCCTGAGGATACCCAGTATCAGGAACTAGAGCCTCAGATTTTGATAGCAGCTTGGGGGACAGAAGACAATGCCTCAGGTCCATAGGAGGTGGGGCAATGGATTTCAGTCACAGCAGAGGAACTTGAGCAGACTACTCTATTCTCAGACAGCAATTATAAAATCTGGACAAAATATGAAAGTGCAAGTATCTAAAATTCTTTGAAGGCATGGGAAAGTGACCAAAAGCAGGCAGAACCTGGATGAGTCCATTTGTAAAAAGATTTGTGAGCTTTTTGCCAGAGGGCACTTCCCGGTCTGCACAGCTCATGGAGGCAGAAAGTCACAGGCTTATTAGCTTGAGGTATCAGTGCAAAGAAGCCAGAGCAGCTGGAAAATCAGGAAGGAAACTCTGAAGGGGAGGAAGCTACAAAACAGATGAACCCTGCAATGTACACACAAACAGCACCTAAATCCTTGACTAACTGCTAAACTGTGCTTGCACAGGGGAACCACACTGGGTCCAGTGAAAAAGCAGCAGCTAGAAATTGAAAGAACTGAGCAGAAATTGTAGCTGCTGCCCACTGCAAAGGAGACAGCATTGGGAGCTCAAATGCACCCACTTAACAGTCTACTGGACATAAACATCAACATACTTCAGAGGAATATAACAGAATTCCAAGTTCTGACAATGTATCACTTACAGTATCCAATATATGTTAAAAAATGACCAGATATGTCAAGGAATAGTAAAATGTAATCAAACTCAAGAAAAGGCTATTAATAGAAACCAATCCTGAGGTGACCCAAATGTTACAATGAGCAAACAGGACTTCAAAGCACCAATTATAAATATTCTCAAGGAAGAGGGAAATGTCTCATAATGAATGAGCAGATGGAAAATCTCAGCAGAGAAATACAAACTATCAAATGGAAATTCTAGAATTGAAAAATACAATAAACTAGCTGAAACAAAAAATTCACTGTGTGGGCTTAATAGATTGGAGATGGCAGAAAGTCAATGAAGTGGAAAACAGATCAACAGAAACTATCTGACCTTAAGAACAAACAGAAAAAATGATGCTAGAAAAATGAACAGGACTTTAGAGCTCTGCGGAATAATATTAAGTGGTGGAAAATAACGTAACTGGAGAAGAAGAAACAGTAGTTCAGAAAAAATAACTGATGAAAAAATAGCCAAATACTTCCCAATGGTGAATAACATGAACTTAAAGATCCAGAGAGCATAACAAACCCAAAGCAGGATAAATACAAAGAAAACCACACTGAGGTACATGATAAACTGGCTAAAAACCTAAATCAAGAAGAAAAATCTGCCAGAGAAAAACAATATATTACAATGTGGGGCAGGGAGTAACAATAAAATAAATGAGGACTAAGGATTTACTTCTAATTAGAAACAGTGAAGGCCAGAAAATGATGAAACTTTCTTAAAGGGTTGACAAAACTGTCACAGAATTCTGATACTATCAATCCAGAGTTCTATGTGTTGGTTCACAACCTTGTGAGCTTCCTGGGGGAAGTCTGAAATTGGCCCCAGTACGTGGAGGGCAAGGAGAGAACAAAAACAAAAAAAGAGGCAGGCCACTCCACATTGATAGGGGGCAAGTTTAATAGGC